CTGGCTGTTTCTTTGCAGTCCTGGGAGGAATACAGTATACACAGAAACCTCTCAGACTGTTCTCCGATTGATGCTCGGGTTAGGATTGGCTTATCCACAGTGACAGAGCTAGGCCCTTCCCAGTTTTGCCGTGCTTTTCTAATTTCACTAGGACAGCAGTAGTTATCTGTGCACACATGTTGTGTGTGTGTACAGCTGTAGCTGAAGATCAAGGACTACAATTTACACATATTTTTGAATTTTTAAAAAGATTTATTTATTTGGAAGAAGGAGAGAGAGAGATCCTCCATTTGCTGGTTTACTCCCCAAATGACTACAGTAGCCAGTACTGGGCCAGACTAAAACCAGGAGCCTTATCCGGCTCTCATGTGTGTGTGTGCATGGACTCAAACACTTGAGCCTTCCTCTGCTGCTTTCCCAGACCATTGAACAGGAGGCTGGATCAGAAGTGGAGCAGCTGGAACAGGGACTGAGATGTTGGCATCACAGGCAGTAGCTTTGCTGGCTATGCCGTGACCAAAGTCCCTGATTATGAATCTTAAAAGTGACCAGTTGGGCCAGCATTGTGATGGAGCAGATGAAGCTGCTGCCTGCAACACTGGTATTCCATATAGGCAAGGGTATGAATCTTGGCTGATCCAGCTCCCTGTTAATGGCCCTGGAAGAATAGCTGCAGATAGTCCAGGTACTTGAGTCCCTGCACCCACCCAGGAGACCCAGGCGAAGCTCCTGGCTGTGTCCTGATTGCAGCCACTGGGGGAGTGAACCAGTGGAGGGAAGATGTCTCTCTCTCCCTTTCTCTCTGTAACTCTGACTTTCAAATGAATACAACTTTCTTTTTAAAGCAACACACTTTTATTTTTGTGTTTTATAATCCCTGTGTGATATATCCTAGCTTGCCACTTCTCTGAAGAAAACTGTAATGTGAACATTCATACATTGTCAGGCAAATTGTGGCTCTTAAATGCATATTTTAAACCGTCAGTCCTTTGGGGAGCATCGTTAGCTAAATACCAGTAGGAGAATGTATGTGCATCTCTTACGCTATGTAAGCGGACACAGTGATTCCCACAGTGCCAGTGGGTATCGGCTGCGATTCACAGGAAGCCAGAGGGGTCTCCTCGGGTTTCTTCCGGTAATGAATACCCCCTAGAATTAGGATTCTGACTCATTTCCATCAGCGATCCCCTTTCCACACCCCTTTGGCAGACAGCTGCAGTATTTGGCGGCTAACCAAGGCCTGCTGCACTAACAATTCTCTAAGTTTTATTTATATTTCATGTGCAGTATGTTCAAACTCTCACTTTCCCAGGTGCCAGATGCTGGTTTGGACACACTCCAGTGGAAAGTGCTTTCCTGTAAAATAAGGAAAGTGAAATGCCCGAACATACCACTGCCTTACAGCAGCACTCAGCATCCTCAGGTCCTCCAGTAATGCACTCACTATATTCCCAACTTCTCCATCACACAGAGCCCCTCTATACTCACCCCCATGCCATGTGTGTTGGGGGGTGGGGCTTGGGCTTCCACATGACACGTAGACTGATGTACATGTCTTTAAAACTCCTATTTATTTCTCTATGAAGCAGAGACAGCGGAAGAAAGAAAAGCATGCCCTCCGAGCCATCGGTTTACTCCCCAGATAGGTGCCGCTCAGGAGCCGGAGCGGAGAAGGAACCAGCACGGTGCCCACCCCCTTTTCCTGTTCTTTCCTGTGCGTCCCAAATCATTAAGGTCAAGACACTTCTTTCCTGCATGCCTTCCATGGTGTCCGTATGGGTGCTTTTAATTTTTTTTTAAGATTTATTCATTTTTATTGGAAAGTCAGATATACAGAGAGGAGGAGAGTTAGAGAAGAAGATCTTTCGTCTGATGATTCACTCCCCAGGTGACTGCCAACAGCTGGTTCTGCACTGATCTGAAGCCAGGAGCCAGGAACTTCCTCCAGGTCTCCCATGCTGGTACAGGGTCCCAAGGATTTGGGCCATCCTGGACTGCTTTCCCAGCCCACAGGCAGGGAGCTAGATGGGAAGTGGAACTGTCGGGACCAGAACCAGTGTCCATATGGGATCCTGGTGCGTTGAAGATGAGGACTTTAGCTGCTAGGCCACCGCGCTGGGCCCATGTCCTTTTAATTTATTGTTTCACTTGGAATGCAGTGCTGCCTAGTTCTGACTCTCATCCCTATCCCAGTGCCCAGCTTCCTGCTAGTATCTACCCTGGGGAACAGAGATGATGGGTCACCCCCTGGGGTCCACACGGCTCAGGTGGCGTCCCTGTCAGCCCAGCCCAGCCCAGCACAGCCAAGCCCTAGCTGTTGGTGGGCTTTGAGGGATGAACTAGTGGGATAGGAGGTCTTTTTGTCCTTCTATCTGCCTTTCACAAAGCAACCCATGTAAGTAATGGTCATGCAAGTAAATAAGGTTAAAAAGAAAATTAAAATAAAATGCATTTAAAGAGAAATATGCCTCGCCCACATACCTACCTGAGGATTTTTCAAATATGATCTGGATAAGAAGATAAGGCATTGTAACCCATAAACATACAGTATTGGATTTTTTTTAAAGAAGATTTTGAGAGATATGAAAATTAAACCACTTGATATATGTTAATAGATTCAAAATTATTTCACTAGAAAATGATGCTTTCCCTGTGTTTTGTGACTATGCGGTGTCTGCAGTGGCACGGGATTTGACATGACGCTCTAGAGAATTAGAGTGGAGTTTGACTTTGTTCCAAGGTGGGCATCCAGCATCTTGGGGCTGCTGCTCAGGGCACCCGCACTCCGCGCAGAGTGTCTGGGTTCATGTCCCAGTGGGTAGGGAGTTATCCTAGAAGTTAAGACAGTCCTGACCCTCCCCGCCACAGCTTCCTGCTCACGTGCACCAGGGGAAGCAGCAAGGACGGCTCAAGGACTCGGGGCCCTGCCACCCACATGGGAGACCCAGGCTGAGTTCCTTGGCCTAGCTCTTGTTGTGGTGGGCATGTGGGGAGTGAACCAATTACTTGGACATTTTTCTGTCTCTAAAATAAATTTTAAAATATTTTGAGTAGTCCTCAATCCAATCCTCTTGGTGAGCTGAGCAGGATTAAGTGATTACTGGGAAAAAGGATATAATTTATAGAGATGGCCAAGCCACTGTTGGCTTCCATTTCCACATCTTTCGTTGATTTTATTGATATGAAAAACTGTACAATTTCTTGTTCTACCCCAGAAAAACGGATAATCCTAAGCATGAATGTTCGCATTTGTGCCAAGAATTTGAAGTTTAGGGGAACTTGTGTGAGGGTCCTGGGAAGTGCACGTGTGTGTGTGTGTGTGTGTGTGTGTGTGTTTAGTGTAAGGCTGTTGCATCTGCTCGGCCCAGCAAGGGTCAGCTTCCATGCTTGGCGCACTGGTAGATCTAGTTTTCTTTCTCGCTCTTTCCACAAGATGGCGGTAGATGTCCAAGAGATAATTCCCCAAGCAGCAATAGGGACTGGGACCTGGCTGGGTTTGGGGTTTTTTTGTTTGTTTTAAGATTTATTTTATTTTTATGGCTAAGTCAGATATACAGAGAGGAGGAGAGACAGAGGAAGATCCTCCGTCCAACAGTTCACTCCCCAAGTGGCCACAATGGCCGGAGCTTAGCTGATCCAAAGCCAGGAGCCAGGAACTTCTTCCGGGTCTCCCACGCAGGTGCAGGGTCCCAAGGCTTTGGGCCGTCCTCGACTGCTTTGCCAGGCCACAGGCAGGGAGCTGGATGGGAAGTGGAGCTGCTGATATCAGAACCGGCACCCATATGGGATCCCAGCGTGTTCAAGGCTAGGACTTGAGTCGCTAAGCCACGCTGCTGGGCCCTTTTTGCTTGTTTCCTTGCTTTCACCCGCCTTTGATCTCTGAGCCGGTCCACACTGACTTTGGGTGGGCATTCATTTGTTTTTGCCACAGACCACATCTGCGATGTGCTCCCTAAACATTGCCTGCATTTTGACACTCACACTTACCTAGCCTTTTGCTCAGTTACCAACAAACTTGGCACATGCATTGGAGCTGAGTTGCAAGAACAGCTCCTACGCATGCAGAGCTGCCACACATGTGTCACCCCAGTTTGCAGAGACGGGAACAGTTCTATATGATGGAGACAAGCTTCTTGTGTCCTGGAGTCCTGTGCCGTTACCTGCACTCAGCCCATCAGCGCACCTGGACTGTGCCCCTTGTGTGCCCAGCACCCCACTGGAAAATGCACGGCGAATAGGGTACTTGCATCTTTTGTTTGAGAAAGGGAGGGCCCCCTTCTGCTAGTTCACCCCCTAAAAGCCCCCATGGGCGCCTGCCAGGAACTGGGCTCTTCCGCGTGGGTCACTGGAGCCACTTTCGCTGCTTCCAGCGCCATGCCTGATTAGAAAGCTGGAATTGGGGTGAAGCTAGGTATGGACCCCAGACACTCTGGTGTGTGTTTGGGAGGTAGTCCTAACTTCTAGGATATACGCCCGCCCCCATGAACTTTTAGGAGACCTCTTACTATGCACCCCAATAAGCTTTGTGACTCAATTTCCACCACCTTTCTGAAGCATCCTGCCATTCATGAACCACACAGGCAGCACCGAACACGCAGGCACAGAGTGCCGGTGAGACCCAGCCCGTGACGCCAGGAAATCCTGTGAGCAACACGAAAGCAGCTTTGGAGGCCATGCCAGGGGGCCTGAGGCGAGGTGCTGGGCAGCGGTGGGGGGCAGGAGCTCCGAAGTGGGGACGTGAGGCGAGGAGCTCGGGGCTGGGCACGGCAGGGCGGGCCCGGAGCGGACGTGCGGCCCAGTCGGGCTCCGGGCATTCCAGTCGGAGCCGAGCCTGACGGGGTGAGCGGGGCCGGCCGCCCCTGGCCAGGGGGAGACCGCGGCCTCACGCCGGCCACGAGGGGGCGGGCCGTGGGCGGGCCGAGGGGCGTGGCGGGCGCCGAGGGGCGTGGCGGGCGCCGGGGGGCGTGGCCCCGCTCTCCCCCGCGCCCGCCGCCGCCCGCCGCCCGCCGCGCGCACTGAGGGAGCGGGGTCGCCGCCGCCTGCCGCCCGCTCGCCCGCGTGCCCGGGCCGCGGTGGGCCAGGATGTCGGGCTTCCTGGAGGAGCTGCTGGGCGAGAAGCTGGTGACGGGCGGCGGCGAGGAGGTGGACGTGCACTCGCTGGGCGCCCGCGGCATCTCGCTGCTCGGGCTCTACTTCGGCTGCAGCCTGAGCGCCCCCTGCGCGCAGCTCAGCGCCAGCCTGGCCGCCTTCTACGGCCGCCTGAGGGGGGACGCGGCGGCCGGGCCGGGGCCGGGGCCGGGGGCTGGCGCGGCCGCCGAGCCCGAGCCGCGGAGCCGCCTGGAGATCGTCTTCGTGTCCTCAGACCAGGACCAGAGGCAGTGGCAGGACTTCGTGCGGGACATGCCGTGGCTGGCGCTGCCCTACAAGGAGAAGCACAGAAAGGTGAGCGGCGCGGGCCTGGCCGGCGCCCCCCGCCCCAGCCCGGCCTCGGGCCGCAGTCCACGCACTCCCCGGGAGCGGGGGTCCCGGCGCCGACCACCCCTCTGCTCGCCCCCTCCCCCGGCCCTCCTGCTCGTCGTGCGCGCGCATTCGTCCCCTCGCGCCCGTGTCGGGGCCAGCACCCCTCAGGGCTGGGCGCGTGGAAGTTTGACACCCCTTGCGCCCCCCCACCCTTGCCAGGTTCCCCCCGGCTGGCTCGGGGTCTGAGAAGTTGAGAGCCTTAGCCGAGCGGGCGGCCGTGGTTCGCGGACACCCCGCCGCTTTGCATCCCCCACACCCCCAGCACAGGTGCCGGGAGGGGCCGCTTTTGCTCCCACCCCGAGACCCCAGCGGCTCCCTGTCGTGGGTGCGGGACGGCGCCAGCCCCCCTACCCACAATGCCCGAACCAGGAAGTTTCCTCTCTGATCCCAAAGCAGTCGACTTTCCTGGGGCCCCCTCGCTTTGTGGCTGAGGACTGGAGGCCTGAGGCGGGGGTCAGGTCGCCCCCAACCCAGCGGTGGGGAGGCAGCCGCCAGGGCTGGGGGTGGAGGGGGCCTCTCTCTTCTCGTTCCTGCCTCTCCCCCGACCCCGAGCCTGAGTTAGTGGCCTCGGGGGAGCTTTTCATTGTCTGCATGTCCAGCGGGCTCCCAGGCGCTCACAGCCCTGACTTTGGTGGTGGGCCACTGTTGTGTTGTCACACTTGACGTTCAGCTGATCCCATAGGTGCAGATGGACTGGAAGAACGAGGATTTGGGGGAGATTTATGCTGGGCTGTCAGCTCCCAGTTTGCCGCTGAAATCAGTTTGGGTTTCCGAGTGCCTCTGTTGGCTCAAAATGTGTGTTTCAATCAAACAAACTGCAGGGCAGTTTGGAAAGGCGCAGACACAGAGCTGAGTTTTTGGAGCGGGCTCGCTTTGTTTGGGGTGTGAACCCCAACCCGGGAGGGTCTCCGTATATGGGGTGGCCGTGCAGGCTGCCCTGGGGAGCGTGGTAACTCAGCCGCACGTTTCCTTTACGTGTGCGGGTCTTGTCGAGAAGAGTGATTTAGGTTTAGTGAGAGCCCGGGACTTAGGCTGGGTTCGCGAAAGTCTGAGTAAATCATCCATCCCAAAGCAGGGCAGGGGCAGAACTGGGATTTTTGAAGTATGAAGTACAGTTGAACCGGTACAGTGTGTGTTAAGATGGGAGAGGCACGGGCTCTGTCACCACACAGAGGCGGGGCTCGGCGTGTTAACCGCTCTTCAGAGCTTTTGACCCATGTTTTATATGCACCGTAGAACATGACTGTGTGTGGCTAGTACTTTGTGCTTCAGAATATGGGAAGCTGTTTTGTGTGTGTGTGTGGTGGTTTTTATATTCCTTTTGCTTAAGACTAATGTTCAGAAAGTTATTTACCCTTCCCCTCCCCCCCAAAAAAAACCATTTTTTTTTCCAGTGTTATGGCAAGTTTCTGTTGTAGCCCAAAATCCGTTTAAAATGATGTTCTTCTTGGGCAATGCCAATGATTTCCAGCTTTCAGAAATGTACAGCGATGGTTGGGCAGTTGTTGCAGCCTCAAGCCTCTGGCGTTTTGTATGGAAGAGGAATGGATTGACTGGACAGTTAAAACATGCAGCAATGGAGATGTTTTGTGAATGCTTAAAGCTTTTTCTGAAAAAGGGAAATACTTTGTAGGAAATAGCTCCAGCCTGCTTCTCTGCCCCGGCCAGCCCCTTTGTATGCCAAGAGGTGTTGTGTGGCCCCAGCCTGGACCTGCCAGTTCCAGAGTCCTGTGACCCTGGTGACAGCTTTGAGTGCCACCCTGTAGACCTTGTGCAGTGGTCTCTCAAACACATCACGTCCCGCAGTTCACACGGTTCTCTAGGATCCAGTGTTCAAAGAGGTGATTTCTGGCCCTCCTTGTTGCTGGGCGCAGGCAATTTAGGACCTGCACCCTGACACACGCCTGGTGACCGAGGCCAGGTGAGGAACTGGCTGCCGTGCTTGCTGGGAACAGACGCCTGGACACTCACTTGGCGAGGGGTTGTTCCCTGCCCCAGAGAGCTAGACCACATGTTCCTTTCCTTTCAGGCTTTGCCTCTCGATTTTGTGACGCTTATTTCACCTCAAGAACAAGGAAGAAAGCTGGGGTACCCCCGGCCGGGGGTCTGGATGGGTGAACGTTTAACTCCTTGTTTTTTCACCATCCATAAAAATAACTTGAAAGAAGGGAATTTTGTTTTACACTGAGTGAAAACCAAAGTTCCAAATTACTCATTTTTAAGTTCTCATTAACATTTGTTCTCCAAAAACATTTGTGTACTTCTTCCCATTGGGATAACGAAGGATATGGTTCTAATTAGCTATTGGCTGGCATCTCTCAAAAGAAAATTGAAAAATTATGGTGGGGCAAAGAAATGCTGTGTGGTATTTCTTTCTCTCCCTCTCTCTTTATTAATTTCTCCTTTATATAGTAAGAAAGTCTGGGAATGGCTGTATATGCTAAGCCTGAGTTTTGCTGGGCTCCCCTTTCCTTGATTGGAGGCCATGAGGAAAGAACAAACAACTCCAGTATTTTTTTTTTTTTAATGGAAGATTGTCCTGTTTCTGCTTGTTTTAGTGCTAAGTACAAAAGTCATTGAAACTTTTTTCCTTGGTTTTCAAAACACATCTATTATTACATAGCTGTATAGAAATTATAATTAGATGATAATAGAACTTTGAGTGCATTTATAAGAGCAGTTATGTCAGAAAACCTGTAATCCTGAGGTGAAGGCAGTTAGACGTGTTTTAATGAGTAGCTTGGTCACTGTTCTTTGAATTGTCTGAAGGCTGAAATTGCTGAAGTCTTGCATAGTGATGTAGAGCTGGGCTTTTAGAGTTTGGTGAGTGTAAGTTACTGCGTTGTTGAAACTGGAGATCTGAGCTCTTCAATACCATAGCAGAGAGGTTTTGGTCTTAGAGCCGCGGGTCTGAGCTTTGCCTGCCTGGATGCCTTATGGAAACCATTTGGTGGGGGTGAGAGTATTGACATCAAAGGGTCCAGATCAGTAGCTTCCCGCTGGACAGGTTTATTGGCACAGGTTTATTGGGTCTCAGAACTTCCTACGTGATGGAAAGGAGGAGAGGAGGTTGTGTGGGGGAGGGAGGGTGGTGGAGTTGGGGTTTGGGTCCAGCGTCTCTTCTCTAGCTGCTGCAGCCAGGAGGAGTGGGCACATCCTCCAGCCAGCCCTGTGTGTGTGTGTGTGGGGGGGGCTGCTGGCCCCCTGCTGCTCCAGTGGCCCTCTTGGTTCTCTTGGTCAGTCAGAAACTTGGTCTAGAAGCCACTTGAGTCCCTTTGTTGGCTCTTGATACATTTGGTTCAGCTGAGCCGTAGAACTCTCTCTTCAGTCTTCCTCAGATCCACATACTGCAGCCAGTATGAGAATGAGTTCCATGCTACTGATAGGTCACCATGGCTTTTGTTCACTTCAAAGGTGAGAAAAGATGGCCAAAAGGGTATGACTTTAAAAACCAGGTGTGGGGCAGGCATGTGGTACAACAGGGTAAGTTTCTTCTTGCAACACCCACAACCCGTACCAGAGTGCCAGGTGAAGTCCTGGTTCCTCTGCTACTGATGCAGCACCCCTGCTAATGCATCTTAGGAAGCAGTAAGTGATGGCCCAAGTGTGCGGACCCCTGCCACCTGCGTTGGAAGGTCTCATTCCGCTGTTTGCTGGTTTATTTTCCGAAGGCCTATAATAGCTGTGGCTGGCCTAGTTTGAAGCTAGGTGTCTGGAGCTCCATTTGCGTCTCCTGTACAGGTGGCAGGGACCCAGGTACTTGAGCTGTTACCTGCTCTCTCCCAGTGTGCACGTTAGCAAGAGGCTGGATTGGAAGTCGAGCCAGATCTTGAATCCGGGTGCTCTGATACGGGATGTGTACATTGTAAGCTGTGCCTTAACCACTGTGCTCATTACCCATTCTCATAAGATACAAATGTCTGTAAGAATTTATTTGAATGATAGAGTTACAGAGACACACAGATACACACGAACACTGGGAGAGTGGGAGGGAGAGAGAGAGAAAGAAAGAGTTCTTCCATCTGCTAGTTCACTCCCCAAATGGCAACAGCAACTGCTTCTGGGCCAGGTGGAAGCCAGCAGCATGGAATTCCATCTGGTTCTGCCATGTACGTGGGAGGGGCCCGAGGACTCAGGCATCCTCCATCACTTTCCTTGGTGCATTAACAGGAAGCTGGATTAGAAGTGAAGCAACTGGAACTCAAACTGGTGCTCATGGGATGCTGGCACCCCAGGTGGTGGCTTAACCTATGATGCCACAATGCCAGGTCCTTATTTTTTAAATTTTATAAGTATACAGAGTCATAAAGGAATTAGAAACTGAAAGAATGCAATAACGAAGGCAAGGGAATGTAAAGTTATACATTCCTTGAAGTTCTGGGAGTTTGTTGACAGTTGTTGAATTCCATTTTTCTATTTGCTAATGAAACTTGATAGTCAATGGTATGTGACATCAATGATGAAGGGTGACAACTTGAAGATGGTCAGCCATCAGACACCTTACTGAGAGAAAGTATGTATTTGCTGGTCCCCTTGGTGTATGCTGAAGCTCTTAGGTAGGGCTTGAGCCAACCCTGGCTGCTCAGTTCTGAGCAGCGGGAGGGTGAAGTTTTGCTGTTCTTTCTTGTGGACATGGATAGGAGCCATCTCTGCAGTGGTAAGACCTCTACACCTCCCCTGGAGAGGCCCACCTCCTTTCCCAGCTGTGGAATGCATTGGATAGGACATCTCAGATAGCTCGGTATTGTGGGAGGGACATTCACCCTCCAGTTAGCCGCTCCAGCTCCAGCCTTCCTAGGTGCTCGCTCTGATCTGTCTTTGTGATGTGGGCGGGGCGGGATGGAAGCCAGAGCACAGAGGAAAGCAGAAGTTTTGAAGTTAGGGTTGCTGATGAACTTCTTTGTAACCCCTATCCCCTTTTT